AGATATATAATAAAACTTGCCTCCTGAAGTAGAAGAAACAAGACATTTGTTTAAACGGCTACCATGAGATTTCACTGAAAATGTTCCCCTAAAAGCAAACTACTTCTATTTTACTAAGAAAAAGAAAAAGTTTAAAGTGAAAAAGGAACGAAGAAGATTTCACTGATGAATATGGTGGAAACTTTTAAAAACCATATCAGATGCCACAAGTAGGTCAAATTAACCACGAGTGCACGGTATCAGGAGCTTTGAAACATAAAGACCAAAAGAGAAAGTTTGATTCAAGTAGTATGAATAATCTTTTTTACAAAAAAAGGAACAGTATTATAAGAACTGGATTATAATAAGGGAAGTACATCTTCATAAATTACTCAATTTTTTTCTTTTATTTGGTTAAGACAGGCTTACTTTTCTTGTTCGCCAAAGAATTTAAATAAATACAAGAATGACTTTAAAAACCATGACATAGAACCTTTAATCTGTCAAAAGGCAAGTAATATATAATTTACAAACTTATAGTCAAAATGGTTATTTCAGAAATATGGTCCAATCTGTAGATTAGTCAGGTCCCAGCTTTTAGCTAATAACTTTGTCTGCCAGCAAATTTGAAGGCTGGAATTAATGTAGTAGAAAAAGTAAAACAATCATCCTAACTGAAAATTAAAACAACACATTATCTGGAATGATGCTTTATGTAATAACATAATTAAGTACTAGATTGAGTCTTACAGATTATCCTATTCAACTGTCAAACTTGTCTTTGCCAAGAAACCCCCTCTATAAAAAATTTCATAAAGAAAAGACAAACATCTACAGCTACATATACAGCAGCTAGGGGTTGGAGTAGAGAGTAGGCCTTCCCTGCGTATGCAGCTCCAAGAAATCCTGTAGACCCCATGGTTTTGAAGACAATAGTTATTTGGTTTAGTGTTTTATTTTCTCATGAAGACATGTAGGCCCCCAAAAGAGGAAGTGACTAGTCACAGACTAGTATGTTCCTAGTAGAGCCAGGTCTAAAACAATATATACTGTATTAGTCTGCTAGTGCTCCCATAACAAAATAACACAGATTGGCCAGCTTAATAGAAGTTAATTACAGTCTGAAGCCACAAGTACCACATCAGGTCCTATATGGTCAAATATAGGGGAGGACTCTCTTCTTGGCTTGCAAATGTTACCTTCTTGCTATATCCTCATGTGGCTTCTACTCAGTGTGCATGTGTGAAAGAGAGAGCTCTCTCTTCATCTTCTTAGAAGGCCATCAGTCCTATTATATTAGATCACCACCCTTTTGACTTCATTTCATTAATCTTAATTAACTCCTAAAAGTCCTAACTCCAACTACAATCACACTGGAAGTTAGAGCTTCAGATGAATTGAGGGAGACATAATTCAGTCCTTAGCAATATCCAAAAATGTTTAGCCTAAGAGTATACAGTAAATGTGTTCTCCCTGTAACAAACACTACACTTGTCTCTTTGAGAAACTAGAAGCCCATACAGGAAAAAAGACTTAAATTTCCTTTAAAATTTTTTTAATACCTACTTTTTTAATGTGAAAAATTTCAATCATATATCAAAGTAGGTAGGAAAATACAACGAATCCCTATATACCCATTGCCCAGCTCCAATAATTATTAGGTCACGGTCAAACTTGGTTTCCATATATGTATGTACATATACCTACATTGCTAAGAAGAAACTTAGTCATTCCAACTGATGTATTTTGGTACTTATCTCTAACAGGACTTAAAAAAACTGCTTAACGTGGTGACGCCCATCTATAATCCCAGCTACCTGGGAGGTGGAAACAACAGGTTCGTGGTTTGAGGTCAGCCTGGGCAAAAACCACAAACCACAAGACACTATCTAAAATATAACTAAAGCAAAAAGAGCTGAGGGCATGGCTCCTTAAGTAGTAGAGTTCTTGGCTAGCAATCAATGAAACCCTGCAGATGGCCATTGTTTGACTACCTAGCCTCTAACTGAATAAGCCAAAATATAAGATCACCTTTTATAATCATATTATAATTTACAATATCTGTGTATATTCCATTGGTTCTGTTCCTCTAGAGAATTTTGACTAATACAGAAATGAGGATGCTGCTGTGACTTTACCTAATGATGTGGTTCAGAAGTCTTTTGAATTCATTGGCGGGAAGACTTCGAAAACATTTGGAGAAGTAGACTAGAAAAAGCCTAGAATGCTGTAAATAGAATAAAATGGGCAATTCCTGTGGGAGCTTAGAAAACTAGAATGTGACAGCAATGCAGACAGTAAACATTGTACTCATGAGGTTTCAGATGGAAACAAGGATGCTACTGGGAACTGAACCACAGGCCGCTTTTGTTAAGTTGTGACAAAAAACTTGTCTACATTTTTGTCTGTGCCTTAAGTCTTTGCATAGGGTCAAGTTTAATGGTGATGGACGAATTAATCAATGGAGGAGATTTCAAGGAGGCCCAGCATTCAGGCTGTTACATGGGTATTGCTTGCTGCTTTTAGGCAAGTTTACAGTGAGAATCAAGAACAACAACAAAAAGTTAATACTTAAGAAAACAAGAGGACAGATTGTATCTCCTTTGTTCTGGCAAGTAACAGAATGTATTTGTCTACTGATTTGCTTAGGCCTTTGGAGCCACCTATAAGAAAAAATTTATCACTGCCAAGAAATGTCTAACTTTTCTTCCCTAACATTTTTGAGATAAAACTGCAGAACGCACACTTATACCTGGATTAGAAATAATAGGAAAGAGCCTGTCAAGAATATAAGCCATTGCTCCAGAATAAGAATGAGCTTTGCACTGCTATTATCCATTTATAGAGGCTGGCCCCAAACCCTAAAACATCTGGTCCTGTACAGAAAATAACTCATACAGAGTTCACAGCTCATGTAGATCTGACCGTCAACAGTATGAATATTCCAGGAGCAGCAGAGGAAGCTCCCTTAATGGAGTGGTTAACCGGGAATTAAGTGAAGACTAGGAAGCAGTCTGTCACAGAACTGAAGTAAGAGCCACGAGAAACAGGTCCAGTGACAGTAAGATACAAAGCCTGTTCTAGAACTAAAAGAGTTTAGCATTGCTAAGTACAGTGTACAAAGAGGTGGAAGACAAGGCTGGAGAGAAAGCATTATGTAACGAAATAATGAAAACATTATGCCAGGGTGAAAAGTTTTGTACATATACATCACTTTGTGTTTATACTTGCATATTCGTTACTGTTATGGCACTGTGACCAAATATCTGACATAAACAACTTAAAGGAGCAAGGATTTATTTTGACTCATAGTTTTAAAGATTTTAATCCATCATGTCTAGCTCTGTTTATTTTGGGCTTGTGGTAAATCAGAACACCATGGCAGTAGGAGCATGTGAAGGAAGAGCCTTTTCATTGCAGATAGGAACCAGAGAAAGAATAGAATACAGGAAAGAACCAGGGCAAGACACAGACTCCAACGACATATCACAATAACCTACTTTCTCCAACTAGGCCCCACTCCCTACTTTTTCAGCACCTCCCAATAATGCCATCCTATCATTAGGTCAGAGTCCTCATGATCTAATCCTCTCTGCAAACAACCTCATAGACACACTCAAAAGTATCCTTCACTAATTCCTAGGCTTTTCTCAATTAGATCAAGTTGACAATCAAGATTAACCATCATGCTTACAAAAATAAATAAAGGGGAAAAAACCCCTTTAGGGGGAAATGAGTACTGAAGATACAAGGTTAGGGAGACTTCACTAAATATCTTTTATAATTTTCTCTTTTTTAAATCACCTAAACACTTTGCCTCTGCTAAAATTACATATTAAAAAATTATGGATTTTGTCATGAGAAAACATTAAATGAATTTAAACAAGAAGTAATCAGATGAGACAGGAACACATAGTAATTAGAAAGCTGTTAATGGATTATTGCTGTTCCAACAAAATATATTAACAATGTATTATGTCATCACAGCACATGAAGTAAAATACATGACAAAAATATAAAAATAGCTCAAAAAAGGGAAAGCAAAGGGAGTTTCCTTATTATTATTAAAAAGTCTTATTATATTAAAAGTCATTATTATTATTAAAAGTCTTATTATTAAAAAGTCTTTTTATATTGTAACTGGACTCATGTTAGTGTCAGAGTATAACAAGTTAAGAATGAATACTATAATCTCTAGATTTGTCACTATAAATAATAATACTGACAGATTTACATACAAAGCCAAAAGAGAAAATTGAATAGACTTTCCATAAAATTTAAAAGTCAATTAAGCCCCCTAAAATGATAGGAACAGAGTACAGACAAGACAAACTGAAAATAAGACTATGACACAAAACCCAACAATATAAGTAATTTAATTAGATATAACTAGATAAAACTCCCCAATTAAAAAACAAAGATTGTGGTACTGAATAAAAAAAAAAAACAAGACTCAGCTACAGGTTCTTTATTAAAAGACACAGTTTAAAAGTATGAACATAGATAAATTGAAAGAAAAAAACACATACTAATTTTTAAAAAATGTAATGACTATTAATATCAGACAAACAAGATTTCAAGACAAAAATTATTCCCAGAGCTTACAGATAAAGATGGAAATTTTATAATGCTCAAAGATCAATTCATACTGGACTAAACATTCTTAAATCTACTTAAAAATACAAAATGCAAAATTTATGAAAGAAAAATAGACAATCTATTACTATAGTGGAGAATAACACCTCATAAGGGAAGAGACCTGAAGTTACATTGTCATTAATATAAATAATGATGCTCAATGATGGAAGTGAATGTCTATAAATACTTGTAAACAACAGTAACAAAAGGAAAAATTAAAACTGAATTAAACAGAAATGGAACCTTACACAGGCTTATGATAGGATTCTATATACTAAAACAGTATATATACCTCAATTCTCTGGACATGAGATTCAAAGGGAAACTTCAAGACCAAATAGAAATGGATAAATTCTATACTATACTGTATAGATTTTTCTTACCAGCATCACTGTTAAATTCATAATTCTTCCAAGATTATCAATGTAGTAGACACTGTCTTGGTACCATGAGTCACAGTGTAGGTAATTATACATCCCAAAAGCATGCATGTGTTCCAGCGTATATTGATCATCTCGAAGTTTTACTTCTGCAACAGCTGAAATATAAATTTAAAAAAATAAAATAAACAAACAAAATCATCAAAAGTTTTACCTCAGATCATTTCTGTCTGCAGAATGCTTACAAGGCAAAGAAATCATGCTGTGCCAACCACAAAAGCCTTTAGATGATTTACTATATTATGCAATCAAAAATAATTTTTGGGTATCTACTGAATAAAACAACACAGTCATGCCCTTACAGAACTTAGAATATAATGACTATAATAGATAGGACTTTCTTTGCATTAGCTCTCTTTTATTTTAGGGGTCTCTTATAATTATGAATAAAATGAACAGAAATTCTAGAAATGAAAGAATTCCCATTTTCTGGGAAAATAATAAGCCCAATTTAAAAAGTACTTTTTATACTTTTTAAAATGTTTTAACCTCTATTAAATTATTCATCTTTATCATGCAGTAAAGAAATAAATGAAACAAATAGTGCATTCTCCAATATCATAATACATCTTTCCCACCGATACAGAAAAAAACAGTATCATAACCAGAACAGACACAGAGTTTCCTATTTATAAAGAAGGGCTTTCTCCACTAAAATATTAGCTGCTTCTTTAATTTTAACTCTCCCACATGGGATTTCTCCCTCTCATTCTTCCTGCCCTTCCAATCAGATAAGAACCCTAAGCTCAGGAGTATCCATGACCTAGAATTAATTTCTGTTCAACCAGGACAGATATAAGAATTAATTCTTATTAATTAATTAACAGAATTAATTTCTGTTCAACCAGGACATATATAAGTGAATATGCGGGGCCAACATATTACCTTAATATAAAGCTCACCTTAGTGTATTCTGATTGCAACTATTTTTTTCTTTTCCTAGAACACTTACCTTTCTTACTTACAATACTCGCCTTATATCCTGGCTAACTAACATTTATTTAGCAAATATTTTAATAGGCACCAATGACACAGTGATGAGCAAAGAATACACAGTCTAGCTTCTTAGCATTTTTTCCAGTGAGGAAATAGCCGTCAAATAACCACATAAATTTCACATAACTTTTATATAATAAATCTTACACAATTAAACTGTGATGTTATTAAAAAAAATGAATACCACAACAAAAAACATAGAAAGCTAATCTACTTGAGAGATTAATGAAATCTTACCAAGGAATGAACCAAGATACAAAAAGATAAGGAATCATTAACTTAAGAAATAATGCTTACATATTTATATATACCCCTCTACTTATTCTAGGCAAAAGGAAAAACAGACAAATGCAGCAAGAAAAACTTGCATTCAAAGAACAACAACAAAAATCCATATGGGAACAAAAAATCACTGCAGATGAATGAAGGTAGAGAAGTGAGATTATGAAAGGCCTTGTCTTTATTCCTTTGTTGATAAACTTCTTTTTTCTGGACACATTGGGGTTTGAACTCAGGGCCTCATGCTTCCAAGGCAGGTACTCTACCACTCGAACCACTCCATCAGACTGCCTTTGTTGATAAACTTATTATAATAGAAATTTATTAGTTTTGAGGCACGAGGGAAGTTCAGATTTGAGTTCCAAGAGAGTACTTAACACTATAATGTGGAAAACAGAGTAGAGCAAAGCAAGGGTAAAATCAGAAAGACACATTAGGAAGCTACTGCAATCATTCAGGAGAAGGGTGATTGAAGTCTGGAAATATTTCAGAGGTAAAACTGTAATTTTATGAGAGTTGATAGAGGCTGAAGAAACTACTGTTTAACTTGAGGAAGTGTTTACTTTATATAAAATGATTAGAAATATGGATTGTATTCTACTCATTAGCAGGGAAACTCATCAACTCTGGATTTTCTAGCACCACTGTGTGAAGAAGCTCAATAATGCAGAAAACGTACATAGTAACATAGTAGCCCAAAGCAGTAATACTATACAATAATATAACAAATTAATTTACTTCATATTTGGGGACAGAGAGTCCTGAATAATCTAAACAAACCAGGGGCTTCTTAGCTTTTCTCCTTACTATAACACCTCATCTGCAAACATAAATACACCTGGAAAACCACTGTTTTCCACGATATAGTAGGATAACCAAACCACGATATAGTAGGGTTTGGTTATTGCATTTCAACAAGATAATCTAAGTTATTAGGACACAGTATAACATGCTTGCGATTTTGCAAAACTCTGTTAGTATAGAAACAGGACTCTGAGAAATGAAAAGTTATAATTGCACTTATGTCAAATACCTTGGTATATAGTTAGAGAAGGCAGAACACCTGAAAAAAGCAGTGCTCTGGACATGACAGAGATTAAGCACCAGCAAAGCTCTTTTGTAGAGCTCTCCCAAGAAAGGAAAGAGGGGCAGGAAGGACCTAATCTCTGTTTGGATCTTTGAAATAGCTGAACAAGAACCCTTTTACAGAGAAGTCAGTGCAGTAAATGTTTTACTGTTTAATGTTAACTTACAGTGGAAAAAAATGAACTCTGCTAACAAGAATGGAGTCTTCTCTAATCTTTGTCCAAAATCCTCATGAAATTTCAAAAACCACTGTTCTTCACAGGAAAGCTATCAAAAGCCTCAAGGAGCCTCAAAAACTTACAGCTTTTCATTCATAAGTTATTTATTGAATGTCTAGTATGTGCCAGATACTATACTTGGCTTTGAACATACTCTGTAAAGTAAAACAGACCAACTCCTGTGCAAATGGTGCTAACAGTGGCACGGCTTCTCATCTTCTTAAAATATATATAACGTAGAACTACATGAAACTGCAAATATTTAACTCTTGACACCAATTAAATAGACTTAATCTAATAATTGTTTAAGTACATTAGTTTGAAAAAGAGGGGATAGGAAGGAAAAGCAAGGAACATTAACTTCTTAGACCACTCATCTTCTAGAACCAATTCAGTTAAGCCTTCTACTTAGTTTGCTATTTACGTATGAAAATGTAAAGAGTAAAATGTAAAGAGTCTTCAAAACGCATTACACACTGAAGAACAAGGCAAAGCCAGAATTAGGATCTATACTCTCTTGAAGCTATTTTATATAATACTTACATGACACAATGTTTATATTCATCTGGCTACCTTCCCTATATACCTTCTTCATAAAAGTAGGAGTTTCAGAACAAGCTGTATATAAATAAAATTGTTACATGGTTCTTTCCTCCCTTTACTCCAACAATAGCCTAAAAATTTCACCAGCTTTTCTTCTCTCTGCTCTGAGAGGAAAAAATAGCCCAGAGAGACCACACAGATCACTAGAAAAAGCATGAGCTTCAGATCAGCTTTGCCACTGATTAGTAGCTTATTTTTTCGAAATAGAAAAAGAGAAATTGACATTTACTGTTTATATAGTAGACAGAATTGTCGAACAATTTAATAGCATTATTTAAGTCAAGAGAGTAAGCCACATCTCATCCTCACATCCTAAATGCAGGGTTTCACACACCTGAAGTACCCATCAATGGTTTCCTGAATCAGTGAACTCCTTGGGTTGGGATAACAGAAATCAAGTTATCAATTATGCTTTACTATTTCTAGAAATAAGTTTTTAAAAGAAATAACGTGTTCATCATCCTCAAGTAATTTTTTTTTGTTTCCTTTTTTCTTCTCTTCTTCTGTTTTTAGCAATTTGTAATGAAAGCCTCTCTGTGAACTATGACAAAAGCCTCCAAACTCAACCTGTACAAAGCCTGAGGATTAACTATTCAAACCTCAAATCTATTCAGTTTCTATATACTTAAAATCCTCAAATAGCACCACATTTTAAATACAGTATCTATGGTCCACACAGGGAAAATTGTGTGGGGAAGTGCAACTCAGAGTTTTTAATAAAGATAATATGTTAAATTTAGCAGACTACTACCACCTGAGCCACACCTCTTTTGCTCTGGTTACTTTGGAGATGGGGTCTCAGGAACTATTTGCCCACGGCTGGCCTCAAACTGCAAGTCTCCTGATCTCAGTCTCCCAAGTAGTTGGGATTACAGACCTGAGCCACTGATGCCTGGCCTTGATAGTCTTTCAGAAACATTTACATTAGCAAAGGTGGTGAAACTATGACAACTGATCTGTTATCTATTTTTATAACAGCCAATGGAAAAGTCTAGGAAACATAGTATAAAGTCCAAGAGGTTAACAGGACCCTCACTTTGGCAGACTTTTTTGCACCAGCAATACAAGACTGCAATAGTGTGCCGCATACACCTAATTCTTTCCCTTTTTCTTCACTCATATTTTCCCATGAACAAAATGACTTCAACAGCTCCTCCATTCACTCAATTTATTGAGCACCAATATGTGCAAAGAACTAGGGATAGAACAGTATGTAAAAGAGAAACACCATAGAGTTTTCATGGGGCTCACAGTTTAGTGGAGGAATGCCTGATTTGGACAAGGATGGATGGAGTTTAGTTCACTTGTGGACAAAGTGGATGGGGTTAACAAAGAAATACACCAAAGATGACTCCAACACAAGTATACAGAACTGCATTAGAAGTTCCAATCTTTATGCCATCCAAGATCTATGCCCTTTAGTATGACCTTCCCACACTGACTCTAGGTTTATTTGATTTGCTTTGGCCAATGGGACAATAGCAAACTTGTCACAAAGAGCAGATGGGGAAAGTACTTATGCACTTACTTATGTCCGGGAACAAGTCTGCCCTAGCCTGCTGAAGGACGACAGGGACAAATCAAAAGGATATTATCTGAAATAATCTTCAACCCATGGTCAAAGAAACCCTCCCCCCCCAACATACGAGGAAGTGCAGCCAAGATGAGCACAGCTGCCTAGCAGACCCATAACTGAGCAAAGATTCATGAATGTTTAGTCAGAACTAGAGAAGAACCACCTACCTGATCTGTAGATTTGGGGGGCAACAATAAGTGCTTCTTATTTTGAGCCACTAAATTCGGGGTTTTGTTTTACTTTGTTTTCATGCATTAACTAAACATAGTGCCCAGCAGTACCATTTAAGACATTAAAAAAAAGAAAGAAAAGAAATCCACGGTGGGTAAGAGGGAAAGGAAGCGCATCTCTCATGAATCAACCTGAGTGTTTCAACCTAGATACCAACTCCTTCAGGAAGCTTTTCAATATTCATACGTTGGTTTAGAAAAAATACTCAAGTATTACCATTGTTTGTTGGATACATCCCATCGCTGTCTTCCCACATTATTTATAATAATCTATTTAAACTTTTCTTACTAACTAGACAATAGTTATGTTATTCACTTACAGACTGCGTCTTACTCATCTTGGCATCTTTAGAATGTAACGCAAAACACGACAGATGTTTTCGAATTTAGTAAACGAATTAATAAACACTTGCTTGATACTCTAACATCTACTAATTCTGGTCAGTATTTCTCAAAGTGTGATCCACTGACAATATGCATGAGAACCGGCAGGCGCGTGCATTTATTCTCTGGGCTGTACCATTAACGAAAATGCAGCGTTTATGTTGTAAAAAACAATGAGAATATGCCGGCCAACTCAGAGAAACAAAACAGGTAGCAACAGTGTGGTCACTACATCACCTTTCCCTCAGGAAAACAACAAAAAAATTCTAGTTATGTTCTGTAGGACGGAGTCCTTGGTGTGCTGCCAGGACATGGGTACTTCAAAAGGCTCTAACCAGAATGTAGAAATTCTCTTCTAAAAAATGGCTCTGCGTCAGAGGAAACAGCTGGGGATTTTCCAAGGAGGTGTGGCTTCTCGTCAAACACGTTGACGAACGATGCTCTCTAGAAAGAAAAGACGTTCTGAGCTTTTCCTACAGCAGGGGTCAAGCCAGAGACCGATCGGCGGGCTGAACCTGGGCGGCACCGCGTGCCAGACTCCAGAAACTGCGCTGCCGAGCCAAGGCCGGGAAGCAACGGATTCCTGCGGGTTGTGAGAAGCGCATCATTCTCCTAGGGCGGCCACCTGGGTGCACCCCAGTAGGACGCGCCATGAGGAAAAGCACAGTTGCTTTGCTTGCCCGGGTCAGAGAGAAAGAAAACGCGGCAAGGATCGGGCTGATGGCCGCTGAAAAGGAAAAAGGAACGGAGTGCAAGGGGACGCCGCCGCTTCCCACCTGCGTCAAGCTCCAGCTGGTAACAGGGCAGCGGCTCGAGAGAGAGCTTGTAACCCTCGAAGCGGGGGTCCAACAGAGGTCTCTTCACCCTCAGGGAACAATTAGCCGCCACATCCATCTCCTTCCAGGAACCGAAGGTGAGAGTTAATAAAACTCTCGTTGAAAGGTCCGCGCTGGACTTCTGGAACTGAGGCTGGGAAGCGGCGTGGTTCCCATCCCAGAAAACAGCGCGGTGCGAAATGCACACTGGGAATTGTAGTGTCCATGGGAAAGTTGACCCTGTTGCATGCAGGGTTATGTAGTTTTCTAGGAACTTAACATTCGCAGGAAGGCAGGAGCTGAACTCAATTACCCATAAGGCAGAGCGACCAGGAGGCGGCCCGCGCTAGTTAAATTCTCACATTATAGGTAGAGTGGCCAGACCCCGCCCCGGAAATGCGTGTTCTAGCTTTCTGTGTGCTTAGGTGCCCGAGCTACTGAGGGTCTAAGTCTGGGCAGCCGAAGAGTGTGGTAGGTAACGGTCGTCAGCGCAAGGGTCATTTCGTCGCTGGGAAGGGACGGCCCTCGCCCGCGGTGATGGTGGTGAGCTATGCCCGTGGTCCTCAGGGCCGGGACCCGGGCCCAGCCCAGGCTCCTTTCGATGTGCTGTCTTTGGTTAGCTTCCCCGACCCGCGCTCGCGGGCCTGTAGGGCTCTCCGACAGGGCGTGCTTCTGGAGTTGGCCTGGAGCCAGTTCTCGCTTTGTTTTCTGGCTCCTCCCCTCCCGCCTCTCCAGCTGTCTCCGCCGCATTTTATTTTCCCAAAGAGTGTCTGAACTGGGAGGGATCCACTAGCGCCCTTGTTTTACCAGTGAGAAAACTGAGGCCTCTAAGAATTAAATAACTTGTCCAAGGTCACTATTCGTATTTTAGGGGCCAAGGCGAGATCAAGTTCAATATTCTTGGTGTAGTACTGACCAGCCCTTGTAGTTATTTTGAAAATGTTAGCCTCCAACTACAAAGGCAACTCTTCCTTTTTCCTGTTACCCTAAGAACATCCAACTCTGAAACTCATTGCCAGTTTGAGTTTTCATATGGATGAGATGAGAAATAACAGAAGTTGTGTCAAGTTAGTAACAGATTAGGTCGGGAAGCATTAGCTTTTTCCAAGTTTTACTTAAACTTTTAAATGGCTTGAATGTCCTCAAAGCTTAACTAGGAATTAGTTTAAGATTTGTTTTCCCACCAGCGATAAATGTGTCTCAAAATATGCACTCATACAGAGCTAATGGAACTGTTGTAACTCTAGGTATATCCCCATGAAGAGTAAAAAGCACTTATCAATCATTCTTACAATCATTTCACTTTTCACTAATAGTGTCTATCTTTTGTTGCTATTTAACTTACATGGTCTCCCCAAATTTTGAATGCAGTTAAGTTGCAGAAATGATTAGCAGACAGTTTTGATGTACAAAGTGTTTTGTGGCTTCTGAGCTCAAAGTACCCGAGTTCAAATTCTGCTTTTGCCATTCTCTGTCTCTGTGCCTCAGTTTCCTCATCTGTAAAATACAAATTATGTTAATACTATGTAGTTGGGGAATTAAATGTGTTTTCAAAAAAAAAAAAAGTCCTGTAAAATGATTTGCCCACTACCAGCACTGAAGTGTTTAATAAGTGTTACTTTCTTTTATTATCTGAAGAATCATTAATAAGGGGCATATGGGAGAAGGACATAGTGTAGTGAGTGTCAGGGTGATTTCTTACAGTGCAGTAAATAATATCAAGAGTAATGATATCATTAACACACTTGAAATTTATCACTTTCAGTTGCTAGAATGTTAAATGTGTGAGAATGCTTACCTAGAGAATTTAGAAGAAAATACTTTGTAAAAGTTCTGTACCTGAAAATACATGTTGATGTCCAGGTTAGCAAGATGAACAAAGATGCGCAGATGAGAGCAGCGATTAACCAAAAGTTAATAGAAACTGGAGAAAGAGAACGGTAAGTAATGGATTGTATTAATAAATTATGTTTCATCATATTTATTATGAGAGTGTAAATATCAAGGAATGTGACATCAGTAGAAAGAATTGTAGAAAATTAGATGGGCTCCCATGACCCATGCCTGTAATCCTGACTACTTGGAAGGCTGAGATCTGGAGGATGGGAGTTCAAGGCCAGTTCAGGCAGATAGTTTGTGAGACTCCCATTTGCAAAATAACCAGAGCACAGTGGACTAGTGGTGTGGCTCAAGCAGCACAGTGCTTAGGGCCCTAAGTTCAAGCCCTATTCCCACAAAAAAAAAAAAAAAAAAAAGAAAAAAATTTTTTTTTACAGGAAATTATAAATTATCAAAAGTTTCTATTGATAACATCTATAACAAATAGTTTAGACTTATTCATCATTGGAAGACTTGGAAGAGTGATGTAAGAAGTTTTGCAAGAAATGACTGTCTTATGAAAAATTTTATAATATAATGGAGAAGAAAAAAAATAACCAAATAACTACAATTTACTACAAATAATTACACATTACTCAGGTTTTAACAGGGAGGTAACATGATAGAATCAGTTTCAGTTACCAAGCTCTCCTTTTTTTTTTTTCCTTTTATTCCTTTGTTTTTCAATGCATGAGATTGAACTGTGGGCCTTGCACTTGGTAGGCAAGAGCTCTACCACTTGATCCTTGCCCCAGTTCTTTGTATTTTTCAGATGATTTTGCCTAGGCTGCCTTACACCACAGTCCTCCAACAGCCTCCTTCCACCTCTACCTCCCCAGTAGCTGGGATTGCATATATGCACCACTACTCATGGCTTGTTTTGGGGTAGGGTGTGGCTGACTTTTGTCCTGACTGGCCTGGAACCAAGATCTTATGTCTGCCCCCTAAGTAGCTGGGATTTCAGGCACATAACACCATACCCAATACCAAGCTATCTTAACCCTAGAGCAGCATATGCTGTTCTTACTCTCTGAAATACTTTTCTTCCTTCCCTTAATTTTTAGCAGATCTTTCTCATTTAGTCTTAAGTACTTCCTCTTCAAGGAATATATTTATTAAAATACTGTTCTATGATAGGATTGTATGCCCCGCATCTAATGCTATGCCTGCCACTTAATTTGCCAAATAAATATTTGGAGAATGAATGGATTTAGAAGTTCTTTTCTGAGGAACCAAAAAAGTCTAGCAGGAGCAGGGTGATAAAGTTTATGACAGAAATACATATGTAAGGAACCAGAGGAATCTTTTCAATGCTACCTATTGACTGAGGGGATTGGATAAGATCTCAATAATAAAAGAGGTAATTGAACTGGGATAAAAGGATTAGCAGTCAATAAAGGAGAGGGTGTTCTAGGCAGATGTAACAATATGCAGAGTTACAGAGCTTTGGCACATGATAATGCTCTGGGAACTGCAGAATAAAAAGAAAACTAGTGTAAAAGCATGTGGCAGCAATAGTGGACTTTGTATAAGTCAGAATTCTTTCATTTGAAAAAAATAGAAACTAAACTCAGAAATTGGCTTAGGCAATGGAAATATGTAAGGCTTGTAGTTGCTTCGTACATCGAGTTTAAAAACTCAAAAATTGTTGTCAAGAATATATATCTCAGTTCTGCTTTCCTCTATGTTCACTTTAATCTCAAACAGGACCTTCCCACAGGTGGCAGAGATTATCAGTTCAAAATTTGCATTGCACCAGCTAAGAGTACCTTCCTCAGCAAAAAGCCTCGTTGGATTACTATCATACTTAGGTAATAGGCAAGTTAAAAGATCAGCCTTGCCTACATCATATTTCTATCACTAGAACATTTCCCACATCCATATACAAGAATGGCACAGTGTTTTTTTTCCATCAAAGGCCTGGAAAATGGGTGCCATGATTTGCAAAAACATCATTGAGGACTTGGTTCTTGGATGATGGCAATTACAAGCTTTTAAGGAAGAGAATGACTAGATCACATTTATATTTTAGGAATTTTAATCTGGCAGTACAGAGGACAGACTTGAAAGAGTCAAGATAGATGGCAGAAAAGTTATTTAGAAGATAATATTGGGTTAAAAATGAAAACAGCAAAAATGGAAAGGAGTGCTTACTTTTTTTTTTTTTAAGAAGAGACAGCCCTTAATATGTGGAAAGACACTTAGAGCAGTGCTGTGGGATTTTTGAGAGGATAGTGTGGCTGATAATAAGTATAGGGAATTATATATTTGCTGATTTTTGTTCTTTTTCATTAACGCAGTGTAAAGCTAGTGAGTTTCCCCCATGCACCATGCTCTGTTAGGTGTTAGAGATAGATTAATAAACAAAATTAAGTCTGTTCTTTCATGAGACTTCAAATGAGAGGAAACATAATAAATGTGTAATATGTCTGATGACGATGAGTGATAGAGGAAGAATAAAGCAAAGACTAAGCAGAGAGAATGATGTTTTGTACAGAAAGAAAGCAAAGTCAGCTTCACTGATATAAGATCAGAAGGATAGGAGTGAATGGGGGGAGTTCCAAGAGCCTATATATCCTGAGATAAGCTTGCCTAACATTTTTAAGGTATACATGGAAGTTAAGGAGACTCGGTATGTTGGGTGGGGGAGAAAGGAGATAATGTCAGAGGTGCAGCTGGGGAGAAAGCAGATCATGGAAACTTACTTAGACTATGGTAGTTTTGGAATTTTGAATAAATTAGGAGACATTGGAGGATTTTGAGCCATGAAATGAGAATGGAGAGTGTAAAGGAAGAATCAAGGAGACAATTTAGGAGGTCAGGAAACAACTCAAGCAAAAAAAAAAAAAAAAAAAGGTGCCTTGAATTAGGGTATTAATGGCAGAGATGATGAAAAACTTTTGAAATGTAGTAAGCATTTAAAAAATGAGACCTGTGGGATTTACTCATGGATTGGATATGTCGTGTTAACAAAGGAGTAGAGTGAAGGATGCTGCGGATATTCCTAGCCCAAGGAACCAGATGAAAGGGGTCATCATTTTGAGAAGAACCAGACGAAGTGGGAGAGAATATAAGGCTTGGTTTTGACCCTATTGAGATTAGATATCAAGATGGTGACATCACAGAATGGATCTCTAGAAATATCAGAAGAAGCAATTTGTAGGGATAGACATTCTGTTTGGTTTGGGGTGTGACATGTTTAAACTGAGAAAGTAAATGACCTAGGTTGAGGATTAAGGATTTATAGGAATGAGTATGGCAAAAGTGTAACAATATTTTATTGCAAAATAATTTATTGA